AAAAAACACCAGGCCATCTTATGACTTCCTGCATATTTTGACTGCCGTCTTTTTTAGTTTCTTCTGGCTTTAGCTCAAATATACAACGGTTAAGCGTTTTTGTTGTTGCATTGTCATGAATTCAATCTTCCACACAGATACAGTTAAAGTTCTCTGTTTATCAAAGCCTCTATTTTTTTGATAGGTAAAAGGATGAGTATCAAAGCCTCTATGATTTCAATGCTTCTAAAAATTTGTGCTTGCATGTTTGCTTGAAGTTGAATCATATTGAAGCTGTGTCCAGAAATCTAATCCTCCCTTTATATGAATCCGTGGCTTAAACAGGATAGGGACCGAACATGAAAAGTTTGGGTTTGAGTTTGGAACGTTACAGCCCATGAAATATGAACAAATAGCAGAGCTGCTTAATGGCATTTCTGAGAGATTTGATTGGGAAAAGATAATGGAGGGTGACAAGATTATTGGACTCAAACAGGTATTACTTTTTCTCAGGAAAATTCTGGTTCTATTGCCAGTTTAGCCTCCATTTGGGAAGAATTTGTAATCAGTTTAATTTATAAATAGATAGAAATGAGTGGTGGATAAGTAGATATTACTTTTGGGTCTATTGGAATGTGAGGCTGAAAGTGAAGTTTGGTCATAAATGATTTATAATTTTTGCCAAATGGAGGCTTAAACATGTATTGGCTTTTCTACACAATGCATAGCATGGTGACGCTAGAGGGTACACTATCAATCTCTATAGCATTTCTCTCAAGTTCATCTCGGTCACTTGTAGTGTAACTAGTCCTTACCATTAATGTTCAAAATTTTCTGAATATATATTACGTCTCTCCACTATTCACATATCTAATGCATGCCACCACCATGAATTGAATTTCTTTATTTTTTATTCAGCACATTTTTAACGGTAACCTGGTTTTCTGTCAGGGAAAACAAAGCATATCACTGGAGCCTGGTGGCCAATTTGAGCTTAGTGGTGCACCTCTCGAGACTTTGCATCAAACATGTGCTGAAGTTAATTCACATCTTTACCAGGTTAAGACACTTCTATTTTGAAGCTTGTTTCTGTTTGCTGCTTAAAACATACTACAAGTAAATTCTGTTTAGCTTACATTTGCGCATGAAATGCCCAGGTCAAGGCTGTTGCAGAGGAGATGGGGATTGGATTCTTAGGAATTGGCTTCCAGCCCAAATGGGAACGTAAAGATATACCAATTATGCCAAAGGTAGTTTCTATATGCAGTTGAGATATATTGAAATGACAAAAATAATGGATATGGCAATATTTCATGTTTCCAATAGGGTATTTGAGTAATTAATCAGCTTGTGATGCAACAATGATGCCTAGGCGTTACATGGCTGTTCAGAATGGGAAGGATTGATTACTTCACCACCATCCACTCTAATCAGGAAACAGATTTGTTTGATGACTAATCAGTACTAGAGTTGAATTAGATCATGCCATAAAGAACGAACTAAACTGTAAAATAGTTTCCATATGAAAACAATAAGATGATTCCACTTTTTGGGGAAAACTTTGTACTCCGATCTCTATTTAAGACTTGTACAACTGTCAGGTTTGACTCTTTCTTTGGCAACCAGACACTTCAGCACCTTATGATCCCACGTCTACATAATCATGAGGTGTGATAAGTCGTATATGGAATGTGCATCAGTTTTTCCAGCATAATTTCTGTTGGTCCATTTTATTAAAATGTGCCACCGCTCTACACCTTTATTATAAATTATTAGATTTTGACAAACTGCGACATATACTGACAAAAGAACTTGGCTCAGGGAAGATACGATATTATGAGAAATTACATGCCAAAAGTTGGGTCACTTGGACTTGACATGATGTTCCGGACATGTACTGTTCAGGTGAGGAGAGAGTGAATATTCTTTTTAGTCATTTGTACATCGAATTATGCCATTCATGACTATCTTGTGCAAAAGCTGCCACTTTCCTCTGATGATATATGTTTGTTATACTGAGCATTACAGCATGTAACTTTTTATATGACAGGTGAATTTGGATTTCCATTCTGAAGCTGATATGATTAGGAAATTCAGGGCTGGTCTTGCGTTACAGCCTGTAAGTGGACTATTTCTCATCATGCAATTGCATTTGATTATGTGAATCTAAATAGTTAGTAAAACAGGTAGCTACAGCACTGTTTGCCAATTCACCTTTCATTGATGGGAAGCCAAATGGTTTTCTCATCATGGAATGGCATTTGATTATGTGAATCTAACTAGTTTATAACACAGATAGCTACAGCACTGTTTGCCAATTCACCGTTCACCGAAGAGAAGCCAAATGGTTTTCTCAGCATGAGAAGGTATTTCACTTTTTCCAATAATTGAATTTCTTGAGACTTGTCTTTTTCTTTTTATATTCTCTCTCTCCCCCACCTAAGATTAAAAGTGATTACTATTATTTCCAGGCTTGATCTTTTCCAGTATTTGAACATTATGTAATAATATTTCTCCCTTTCTACCAGCCAAATTTGGACAGATACTGACAATCATCGCACTGGCATGCTTCCATTTGTCTTTAATGACTCTTTTGGGTGAGTTACCACATGCTTTGCCATAAACATAAAGAAAAAAAGCGGGTCGTTTTGTCCTTTTTTGGGAATTAGCAATGGGGGAAAACTATCGTTTTGTGTTCTTCTTTGGATTAAGGAAAATTTCTTTATCTTTTTCACTTTTTGTATATTTACATAGCAATTTCACATAGCCTACATATCATGGAATATAAACTGAAAAACTTGAAATTACAATTTCTTTACTCCCTCTTAGCATGTTCTGATAGTAGTTCGCTTGGCTTTATCCAAATGTTTGTAGTTTACTTAAGGGGAAAAATTGCCTTCATTGTGAGGATGGTTTCCTGTTTAAAACGATGCAAGCTGCTAGCCTTCTTTTCGTCTACTGACAGGAATAAAATAAAGACATGTACCTGGAGTCTGTTAGAGATACTAATGGACTAAATATTTCTGTTACAGGCAATTCTGAAATGTGCTAATTTGATTGATGTGAGAACTGTCGCTCAGTAGACCTGTCTAATTTTAGATTGATGCAGTCACACATGGAATTAATACATGTTTCCTTTCGATAACTAAAGAGATCAGAATTTCTTGGGTTATGACAGTGATGGGCAAAATCAAAGCAAGAAAATGGTTCCTTTCTAAGACAACGTTTTCCTTCTACCACTTCTCAATTTGTGTCTCTCTGTTGAGGGTTTGGGTGGGAGTCCATGCCATGTGGGGTTGTCTATATTATAGGCTTTCGCTACCCTCAGTTTTTTCAAAATTTATAGTAGTCTACCATACAATCAAGCGGGCTGTGACCCATTTTTTTTTTTTTGATAAGTAATCAGAAAATTTTATTTATCATAGGATAATACAAGTGGAATGTATTATCAATTTAGACAACA